ATGTGTCACTATCAACCTTTAAAATCAACCAGCAACAAATGGTATGTCTAATTGCAACACTGGAATGGTATCCTATATATGAGGTAATTAATTGAAATTAATTCCCCCCATCAAAGCCTAGATTGTTCCAATTACAGTAGAAAAGAAAGAATGCTGGAATAAAATAAAATATATTGACCTAAAGCATAACTTAAACCAATGTAATAACTTACCTGAAGGATAGTCTGTTCACATTTTCTCATTAACAATGAAACTTCAGATTCAATTCTCACATTATAATTTTGGATATTTATCTATTTTATTATTTGTGTCCTGCCTTTTTTTTTTTACAAATAACTCACGGGGGAAAATATATCCACTTCCTATTTTCCTCACAACAACCATCCTGGGAGACAGTGACTGACCTAAACTCACCATCCTGGCTTTCATTGCACTGCACACAAGCAAAGAATCTGGTAAATAGGCAACATGCAATTTTTAATATAAACAGTTAAAGGAATTAGTATAAATATCCTATACCTTTTGTAGGGAATCAATGTTATAAACTGCTTCAACGTGTCTATTGCAAAATTGTCACCTCATGAGGCATCCTTTCTTCAAATTAATTTATGTCACACTATGAAAATTCCCATTCAACTGTTCTGGAAGGATGCAAGTGTGAATCACCAAAAAATATCTTTCACTGTTACACTGACAGAAAACTCTATTAGATCAAAGAATATCATATCAGCAGGGTCAACAGTACAGCTGTTTTCTGAACTTTATTTTGACTACGTAAAGTTATATATATGAGAACTATCACCTAATAGTTGTACTGTTAGGAATTGCATTCTGTATAAACAAATTGAGAACCACCTCTCCACTCAGCTCAGGGACATCAGCATTTCATTCAGGTATCAGAATTGCTATTCAAAGCCAGTATGTAGCTTATTATCATTCCTTGAGCTTGCTGGGCCAACAACAGATAACTTGTAGCTTACCTACTCTAACATTAAAATCCTAGGAGGAAAAAAGTATTTAAAATAAATTTCTAATCTACAGAATTGTAAACAAAATCTACATATAGGATGGTGTGAATTATTCACACAAAATCTTCTAATGCAATTTACTAACTACTAACATTCTTCCTGCAGGATGCATTATTCAATATTGCAATGGAGTAACAAAGTTATATGGCATCATTTCTCTATACCACCATAATGCATTTCATCTCCAATTGATGCAGGTGAATGATTGGCAATCGCATTCTATGACAACTAGTTTCATATTTTAAGCTTCAGAAAATCCAGACTTTGCAGTAGGAATGCCAACTAACATGAGTACAGGTGCAGATTAATAGAGTTGGAAGGACCTTGTAGGTCATCTAGTCCAACCACCTGCCCAAATAGACCCTACCATTTCTGACAGATGGCAGTCCAGTGTCTTCTTGAAAGCTTCCAGTGATGAAGTTCCCACAACATCTGAAGACAAGCTGTTCAATTCCCAAGGTTGTGTAATTCTTTAAATCTCATTTCATTGTTCTCTTTCCTAGTTTCCTATGAGTGGAAACACAGCCTACACCTATGATGGCAAACCTATGGCACGTGTACCAGAGGTGGCATGCAGAACCATCTCTGCTGGCACACCTGCCATCACCCCAGGTCAGATTTCCATGACGTTTCTTTTGTGAGCTTGTTTCCCTACAAACGATGAAACAGAAGCTCACAAAATAAAAACATCTTACCTCTTGCTGCGCTGCAGGTGTTGGGATGACCCGTCTCCTGCCAGCCAGCTGGTCTTAGGATTTCTGCTGCGCATGTGCACATGTCCACGCACGTGCACCCATGCCCGTGAATGTTTGCACATGGACATGTCCACGCGCATACCTTTCCGTTTCGGCATGCACCCGCGCAGTTTGGGCACACAGTGTCTAAAAGGTTCGCCATCACTGGCCTACACTATGCCACTTAGGATTTTTTATAATCTCTAAATATTAATATGTTATTCTACTCTGAGCCATGGTTGCCACCATTGGCATCCAATGGGGCTGTTAAGTTATGAAATATATTGTAACATCACAACACAAAACCATGACTTATATACTGAACTTGTGCCTGACATCAGGATTCAAGTACAAAAGTACAGGTTTTGTATCAAAGGTTTTGTCTCTTTTAAAATAATGGGTTTTAAGTGAATGCCTCTTAATTATTTTTATTCTTGGTTGTACCTTTTTAATTGCTGTTAGCCACATAGGGTCCCAATGGTGAGACAGGTTGCTACATAAACTGAATTGAATAAATTAGTGTAGCCTAGACAATTCTAATTGTAATATTCAGGAAAAAAACCAGACCAAAACCACAGCAGAATTAAGAAGTATTAAGAAGTAGGGGAAAGAAGCCCTTAATCACCTTAATTGTTTAATATCATTTCTGAACTAAGTGAAGGTTTTAAATGTTTTAAGATACATAGAATGCCTTCTGGCATTATTTCTCTTCAATGTGGAGTCCTCTACCTATTATAAACTTCATGGTACCAAATTCCACTCTAAGAAATATTAACTATGCTTTAATAAACAAGAACTAGAATGTGAAAACAATTATTAGATATATGAACACTTTCCTTGTATTGAATGGATATTACTATTTACGTATAAGCAACAGGATTAATATTTGCAGAAAATATCTTCAGATAATAACTTCTATATTATTTCAAGTTTTAATATAAAAAGCTCTTAAAGTACATATGTAATACAGAGGGAATTGCTATCAGTAAAAGAATATTTGAAATTGGTACAAATAACTCACATGCAAGTTTTTGATAAAAAAAACTACAGGACAAAATTTGTTAATTGGTTACAGTACATGACGATGAAAAATTCTACTTATTATAGTGTCCACTGTTAGACAAAATTAATATAGAAAAAATAGGTTGCATCAAAAATCTAGTTCAAGAAATGAGCTCTTTCATTACTATTCTATTCCAAATGTCTATTATCCCCAGCATTCATGTGTGCAACTCCTCTGGAAACTCAAGTCTACTTATCTACATTATTTTTCAAGGAGAATCTGACAGTTTGTGGAAAATAAGAAACGTTAGCCCTTAACACTGCTTTAAGAAAAAAAATGTAACCAAATAGCAAAAGGAATAGCTTACCTTAAAACAAATATGGAACTAATTCACAGATATCTATATTTGTCAATAGGAAAGTACCTGCAGAATACTGGAGACACAGATTACATTGTATCCTACACACAAAGTTAGCTGACCCATGGCAAAAAACTGGAATGTTGATTCCAAAACTAGAAATGCAAGTATCTTCAGTTGGGGAATTCAGAAAAGCAATATGTGACAAAACAAGAAACAATCTCCCTTTGTATATTTGTATATCTAACCACAGCAAGTGGCTAGATATACATTTTCAGATGTAGGATTCAGTGGTTCCTTTCAAGCAAGTAGGTTATTGATTCAACCCGTCTTAACTTTTAATCAGTGATGCTAACGACTGCTAGTAATTCTAAACCTGACAATTTATACATTAAAGACAGCATAGTACACACACTTTTCAGTAATTTTCAAAGATGCTGAAGCTACTTTACCAATTCTGTTCTATTATTTCCATTTTGTTAATACATCTGTAAATCTTGCCAGGAAAACCTCAGGACTATTCCTGACAGTCACTTGGGACTGAAGGGATCCCTCCCCACGTACACATACACCGAACACCAGTGGGCCTCCAAAGAAAAAGAATAGCCATGCCATATCCAAGACTAGTTAGAACAGCTTTTATTGTACTACAGACAGGAAAAAAAGCTATACAGATTCACCAGGAAAACCACACTTAACTTCGCCAGATTCATTCCAAGGTAAAAAGTACAGCATGCAATGATTCATCCTTAACAACCTCTGCAGGGATCAGCAGAAACTATAATTTACAAATAGAAAACCGGGCATCTGAGTCAAGTCCACTAGAAGGCAAAAACCAGCACAGGGGCTGGAGTGAGCTTGGATGCACTTGCTCAATACACAAATCATACTATACACCTTTTATGGGACTCGATGTTACTCTTGGCTTATTTAGCCAGCAGGGGCAGCACAGACAGACTTAAAACACAATTTTCCGGACAATTACTTGAAAGCAAGTCCCACATAAGTGTACCCAGGATTTAGGTTCTGGTCAAACAGGCCAAGGAATCCTGATCATTGGATCCCCACTGCTGATTCAGTTTTCAGGACTCTTTATAAATCACAACCTGTCCGAGAGGATTTCGTCTGCTTCTGTTCAGCAGCACTTCGGCGTCAATCGGAAGGATGTGTAAAGTTCTTGCGCAAGCACAAATTTCAAAGCCTTGAACCAAGGCTCGCATTCAGACATTGTAAATAAGCAAGGTACCATAAAAGGTAGGAGGGAGAGGCGCAGGGGGAAAAAGGAGAAGGTGCGGTGCACCCAGCAAACCAGCTCACAATAGCCAAGAGCCGAGTATCTTTGCTGCAAAGTAGAGAACGGGGAACTAGACGGGAGCGCAAGCGAAGAATGCGAAAAAAGGAGGGGGAGGCAAGGACGAGCTTTGGGACACACGCGTGTATGTCACCCACCAAGAAGGGGGAAGAGGAGATAAAGGCTGCTGGACGTCTCTTTGCAAGAGGGACAAGAGGCTGCCAGAAGTGAACCATCGAGGGTTTAAAAGAAGGGCTAAAGTAGAGAAGTCCCCAAAACAAGGCAACCCGGGGCTTAGGGGAGCCCTAGAGTGGGGTCCCCGCCTGCCCGTGGCCCCAGAGCTTTTGTTTGGGTTTCCAGCCAAGAGAACAACTCCAAGCAACCCAAACGCCTCGGAGACTGAAGAGCGCTCGGGCCGGGAGCCACAGCGACTGATGGGAGGCGAAGGTGGCCGCTGAACAGAGTTGGATCGCGCGGTTCCAAAGGGGCCGGGGACGGTGTGGGGCAGCGGAGGGGGGGGATGTCATCGCCCCCCAGATGCCTCCCCTCCTTCAGCCCTTCTTATGCTTCCGAGCTTCCCACTCACCGCGCGAGTCTTTCACGGCCGCCCGGAGCCTCCTCCGCTCCCGACTTGGGCTCGCGACCCCGGTCCGGCTCAGCAGCTCCCGCTGCCTCCTCCGCCGTCTGCCCCAGCCGCCTTCGCGGCCGCCATTTTCCTCCACCGCTCCGGCCAGACTTCTCGGGAGGGCGGGGGGAGGGGAGGGGAGGAGGAGCAAGCGCGGAGCCTGCGCGGCAGCCCCTGTGACACGTGGTCTGCTCGGGAGGGGCGGCCGTCGGGCTGCGCAGAACAAAAACTTGCTGGAGGGACGTTGAGTCGGTCGGTCGGTGGGCCGGCCGGCTGTCAGATCCTCAACCTGGTTGCAGTTTCTCCGGGGAAATTGAATCGGCCAGTGCGTTTCGTGACGCCTTTCTGAGATGTTGTTGTGTTCATGTCCTGATCCTGGGCGCGTATATAGGAGGAAGAGACGACCTTGCGGACGTTTCTCCTAGTTGCAATTGTGTAGTGTGCTCCTTACTCGGGGACCGAACTTTTGAGTAACGCATATCAGGACGTGTTTCCGAATCAACGCCGGGATTGCGTTTAGGATTCCTTACTCGTTGGCTGTAGCGCTCGCTGGCTCTTTCGCGCGGGACCCGCCCGCCCTCAGTCGTTCTTCCGCTTATTTTGTCCCAAAGGTGCTTTTTCACTAGGCAACCGGACTTTCTGGCTCGGAGCTCACAGCTGAAGAAGCTTCTAGGATGAGAAGCGAAAAGTCTTCATAGAGAAACCAGAAATTCCGGTTGCCTAGTGAAAAAGCACCTTTGGGACAACCATGACCTGGATGACTGAGAATCTCCATAGACATTCCTCTTATCTTGTTCCTTGCTATTGTGTTTTGTGCCAACTTCTTGAATTTAAACATGCCCGCGAACGTATAAAAAACCGGAACGACCGGCCTGTCTTGCAAGTGTATTGGAAACGTCCTCGTTCCGCTGCTGTCCCTCCACCCGCCTCGCCTCCCCTCCCCTTGCTCTCCGGTGCCCAAGGCTGTTTTTGCTGCGGAGCCCCCCCCCCCCTCTTCCTTTCCGCCTGCTGCGCTCCACTGGGGCGCTGCTTCAGCCTTGGCGCAGATAAATCAGGTGCCAGGCTGGTGGCAATGACATTGACGTAGAATTGAAATTCAACCTGTTTTAGGTAGGGGAACGGGTTTACTTTTAGGTGTGCTATTGGTATCATGGGAACATGATCAATGATTTGCTTAAAATCATTTGTTGAATTAAATAGCTTTGGTTGGGTTTGTTCTAACAAACCACCTTATGGCATGAAGCCAATTTACAAGGTCTTTGCTGGATCTTATCAAAATCTTAGGCTGGTATTCTGTTGCTTTCATAATTTATATGCATGTCAGTAACAACCCTAAATTATCTGATTATGATCTTGTGCAATCAAGTCAGGTTTGACTCCTAGAGAGCAAATATATTTCTTCCATAATGCTTTTTCCTTAACCTGTTCCTTCAAGTCTCCCAGCTCATTGTCACTGTAATTGAATCCACCTACCTTGGTGTTTGTCATCCTTTTTTCCAACTTTCCTAGCATTAAAGCCTTCTCCAGAGAGCTAGGTCGTCATATAATATATCCTAAGTAGGATAATGTGATGCCTTGAATGAGAACTCTGGGTTGATTTGTTCAAAGATCTGCCAGGTTTGTTTCCTTGGCTGTCCACGGGAATCTTCTCCAACAGCAAAGTTCAAAAGTGTCAATACTCTTCCTATTCTGCTTCTTTAAAGTCTCGACTTTCACTTTAATAGAATGTCATAGGGACCTTTTCTGAACATCGGGTGCATGATGCACAAATCATTCAGAAATTCAGTGGCACAAATTTATAGTCTTAAGACACTGGCTGTTATACTCTTTAGCTTCTG